ATATCAACATTGGCTACCAGAAATCGCTTACTCTGCCTTTAAAAGGTTACATATTTCTATGTGCGGGTGTTGATATTGGCTGCCAGGTTTTGGCGTGTTGTTGCTAAGATGTTAACAAGTGCGCATTGCTATGCACTTGTTTGGGTGTTCTGGGTGGATGTGTTGGGATGCAGGATATATCAGTTATCGGCGGATATTAGAGATTTTTAATTAGGGCTGGGCGATATAGCTAAAAAATGTATCAACGATATAGCCTAATGTTTCATATCGTTCGGTATCGATAATTATTGAAAATTTTTTTTAACCCTTTTTAAAACAGAGCAATAGAAGAAGAAAGTCATATACACCTAGGATGCCTCTGGGGTGAGTAAAACACAAGCTAATTTTCATTTTTGGGTGAACTAACCCTTATATTCTTTGCTGCACACTGTAAACCAATCAGCGTATTATTATTGTTTCAGCTTGACCCCGCTGGCCTGTCAAGCTTGGAGTTTTTCGAATGATTTTTTCCCTTCACAGTCACAGCTTTATAATCTCAGGATATGGTTAATCAGTGCAGTGGCTTGACCCCTGGGAGGGGGCCACATCTGCTCTTTGGACCACATCGGGGCTGCTTGAATGACAGGAGGGCCTGATGCTGTAGTCGGCAAAGTTTTGTTAGCAGAGCAAAGTCTGGATTTGTGCTTGGAGATCAAGAACTGAAGCAGTGGTTAGGGTTAAAAAATGTGGAAGTATTTGCCCAAGACTCACTCATCTCCACATTGCTAGGGTGTTGATATTGGCTGCCAGGTTTTGGCGTGTTGTTGCTAAGATGTTAACAAGTGCGCATTGCTATGCACTTGTTTGGGTGTTCTGGGTGGATGTGTTGGGATGCAGGATATATCAGTTATCGGCGGTTCACACAGATTGCATTTAAAAACATATGAGACGCAGTGAAAAGGAATAAACCTCCACAAATTTGTGACGTGTTTTCTAAACATTTAAACTGTTTTAACATTGCATGGCTTTCTATACATCTCTTGTGTAAGACGTGAGTGCAGCAGTCGTATTTGTCCGTCTAAATCAGTCAAATTCATCTTTAACTTTGTTTATTTTGTGTTTTCTCTTTTTTGGCCAATGAATTGCACTTAAAATATGAGTATAGGGAGGTGGAGTGGGAGTTAAACTATAACTGTACAAAAGCTACAATCTTCCTGCATACATTACAGACCCACTATTTGTATACATGTACTTCAATGCTAGTATGCAAAAACCGGTAACGAAAAAGAGTAGTATGTCTGAATTCACAGTATTCATAAAATAGTAAAGTATGATGATGGATGATCTATTTCCACTGAAGTGTGCATCTGATGGACACCTTACTATCCCATGAGGCCATGAGAGAGAATTTATGAATAGAGTAAAGTGACACAACTAATGCTGGTAGGTCTCATGACAATGACAACATGACAAATGTAGTAGGTCGGGATTAAATGTATACGGCCAACTGCTATGGTGGCTGCTGCTGGATTGTGTGTACTGTAACATATCAATATTTCATTTTTTAAATATACTGCTACACTCATACAGTACATACAATATCAGATACATGCTAAAATTTGCCTCAGATCCCCAACTCTAAAGTTTGAGCTGTAGTAATAGGGATACTTGCCTTAGCAAGCAGCAGTAATGATGGGGCGTGTGTGTTTCGAAGGGAACTGGAGCATCTGCAGCTGTGTGTGTGTGTATCTTTGTCTGTGAAAGCGAGACCGTTTGAGTTTGTTAGGGAGCAGCTGCAGGCTATCTCTGAGTGGATGAGGGGTTACTGGGTTATTGGGCTTTGTTGAGCATTAAAGCCTCTCATTTGCTTTTAGTTCCCAAATTGGCAGAGCTGTGGCGTCCTGCCTGCTTTCTGCCAGCTGCTCAGCATCTCTTCAAACATTCTGAGTTTGGCCGTCGCCATCTAAGCAGCGGCTGGCTCTGGCCACTATATCTGATATGAACCCGTCACGCTGTCTGTGTCTGATTCGTTGTGATCTTGATCATCTTTGTGATATTTGGACATTGCATATGAGCTCCTGATGTGATTGTATGAAATCAAGTAAATATAATAAATGTCCCTTTCTGTGTCTCTCACAGGACAGTAGCGTCTGAGGTCAGAAAGCAGGTTTCCCGGGAATATGGCTCTCCGCAGCTGTCCAAAAAACGTGCTGGAGCTCATCAACCGGTTAGTGTGTACTTGTGTTTGTTCATGTACATTTCTGCTTGTCTGCACACAGTCTTGTGGGCTCCTGCCAGGTCTTGAGTAAGAATGAGGGCGTAATTTAATGCTTTGCAAAATACTTGCTTTAACAAAAAAAAAAAAGACTTTCATACAGAGTTTAATCTGGTACTATACTATATTATATTCGATACTCTTGTTCTTCTGAAATTTATCAGGACTAAAATTAATATATAAATATTTACAGTACTACATGCATTTGCACTGGTGAGGTTTCACATTAAGAAACAAAAAAGATTTAATTAATGGATATAAAGTGGTCCCAAAATGAATCTAGATATACTTAAAAATGTGTTTGCATAATATATACTATATTCAAATGTTTGGGGTCAGTATGTTTCTTTTTTTAATTTTTTAGATTTTTAGACATTTATAATATTACAAAATAATTCTATATCCAAAAAGCATTGTTCTATTGAACTTTCTATTTATCAGACAATCATGAAAAAAATGTGTCATGTTTTTTCCCCAAAAGATTAAGTAGCACAACCGCTTTCAACATTGATAATATTATAATAAATGTTTCTTGAGCACTAAATCAGCATATTAGAATGATTTCTGAAGGATCATGTGACACTGAAGACTGGAGTAATGATGCTGAAAATTCAGCTTTGCAACCACAGAAATAAATTACATTTTAAAATATATTCAAATAGAAAACCAGCTATTTTAAATTGTAATAATATTTTGCATTATTAATGATTTTACTGTAATTGGGATCAAATAAACAAGCTTTGGCAAGTATTAGAGACCTCCTTCTAAAAAGTAAAAAAAAATAAAAAAATACTTGCTGATCTCAAATGTTTAAACTGTAATATATCCAAGTGGCATCTATTTAAAGAAAAAAAGCACAGCGCAAGTATACCTTTAAAGCAAAACATTCACATTTCTTTAGGTTTCAAATGAAAAAAACAATAGATATACTGTTCAAAATGAAAACAAAACTATTTGCACACTTTCTTGTTGTCAAAGTGGATCATGTTTATAGTTAATGTGATTCTCTCCACCTGTGGTTATACCTGTTTGGACACCTGTGTGAACTCGAGTAGAAATGACTTCACACAGCCACTGAAAATCACCAGTTGATCAAAAGTCAGTGAGTCAAAAATGGCTCTTAAAAGTTAGTTCTGAGAAAAGGACTTTTTCGCAGTGTGTTTGCAAATGCCAGTTGGTTGGATGTTTTGTTTCTAATTCAATGACACAATATTTTTAAATGTGACCAAAGTGTCCAAATCACTTTTGGGACCTCTGTATATAATATGTGATTATACATAGGAGTGAAAAGGGGAAGAGGAAATGACCACAAGCCACAATCACTTCCCTTTCTTTTCCCCTAACACAAGGTTATTTTGAAGTTTTCCCTGTGCCCTTTTTGTGTATGCAGTGTTGCCAGTTTTGGGAAGGTTACTTTGGAAATGTAATAGGTTTCAGATTACAAGTTACCGTATTTAAAATGTAACAGTAATGTAATCAATTACTTCATTAAAGTAATGTAACTGATCACATTTAATTACTTTTTGATTAGTTTTCTACATTTTTAACAAATGTTTTCAAATGTTAATCATTTTCAAACATTTAAAGCAGGCATGGTTAACTTTACAGGATTCAGCACTGATTACTGTCAGACTTTCAAAGTCCTAATTCACTTGAATTAAGATTATAATAATTTCATTTTAAAGCACAGCTACCACAAAATCAGACTTCAGCAGCTGTTTACTTTGAGGTCATTCTGCGGTTAAATACAGATTTAAAATCATAATATATAGTTTAATAGCTATGGTGCTGTTTTTGAAATCAAAACTTTTCATAACTGTGACAGACATGAAACTCTGGCATCTAACAATGCTTTGGGAAAAACTGTTAATCTTAAAAAAAAGCCATGTACATAAACCCAAATAGTAAATAAAACCGTTATTAAATAAGCATGTGTCTGATTCTGTGTCCTAAACTCCTGAAACAAGAGCAGTCGATGCAATTTGGGAAAGAAAGCAGTCAAATCTGTATGTGTGAGGAAAAATTCAGATGTAACCTCTTTTGTAATCATTAACATTTTCATAAGTAGCTGTAATTTTATTACACATTACACTAATACACTAATTACAGTTACATTTATTTTGTAATTAAATTACATAATTCTGTTACATGTAACTAGGTACTTCCCAACACTGAGTGTTGGTAACTGTGAAAGTGTAACTTAATAAGCTACAAGTGTCTCATTTTGTAGAGTCGTTAAACTACAGTCAAGCATCCATATTGGAAAAACTGTTAGCTACACTACATGTTACAAACAGCATGTAGATAACTGGCCTAAAACTATTTATGTGGATCATGTTACACAGAATCAAATTTTAAAAAGAGTTAATTGTACTATGAAAACATACTGTAACTTAAACTTGTGATTATTTTTTTTTCTTTTCTTTTATGTAAAGCACTTTGAATTACCATTGTGTATGAAATGTGCTATACAAATAAACTTGCCTTGCCTTGCCTTGCCTAAACTCAAAACATCTGGCCTCAGTGAAAAAAAAAAGAGCATTTGTTGAAACTAAGCTGATGAATGCTTAAATATAAAATAAAACAAATCTGTCATTTTATTTATTGTTAGAGTGAAGAAGGTTGAAAATAGTCTGAAAAAATGAATTATTTAATTATTAAACAAATTTAATTCATTTTTCGATACCAAATATTTACTGTGAGTAAACATAACATAAATAAATTATAATAAAAATGTACCTGTCCAAACAAAGGGGGTCAGTAATATAAAAAAAAAGGTTTTATTAAGCAAGATTGCATTAAATTGATCAAAAGTGACAGTACAGACTTTTATAATGTTACAAAAGATATATTTGTCAAATTAATGCCATTCTTCTGAACTTTCTATTCATCAGAGAATCCTGAAAGAAACGTGAGTGAATTTGATCAAAATATTAAAGTAAACAAATCTTCAGATGATGAAGTGAATGGTATAGATGGTATATTACACTAGTAAAAGTTAGTTTAATTTCTTAGACCCACAGGTATTCAATAATTTTGCCTTAACTTTCAATGTGAGTCTGGGTCCTGAGGTGACGGATGTACTCTTCTAGGTGCCTCTGACGGAGGTGGTGGAGCCGGTGGACTATGAGGAGTACGTTAGCAGCCATCCGCCAGGAGCGGAGCCCGGACCCCTCCGACAGCTGCTGGAGTTCCCCAGCGATGACCTGGAGCTGCTGCTGCAGGAGAGAGAGTGCGCCACGATAGAGCCGCCCGTCCCGGAGGAGGAGTGAGTCGCTCATCGCACACACAAACACACACACGCCACACTGTAATAGGGATATGCCGGTATCAAATGTTCTTGTTGCGATTAATTGCTAATGCTTTTATCACGGTATACGGTATTATCACGATATTGAAATTAGGGCTGGATTAGAAATTAGGATTTCTAATCGCAATTACAATTACAGATGCCACAATTACGTAATCGTTCAAAGCGGCAATTAATTGTCCAAAGTCCACTTATGTAAGATGTGTTTTTTTTTCTTTCTACATGTTATCTTAAGGGTTTTTCCATTGTTTTATTTTTAGTGTGAGTATAACATTATAATACCATTCATATTTTTATTTTTTTTTTTATTTAAAGAAGAAACCAATCCAATGTACAGTTGACATTTGAGGCTTAATACTATAGAAAAGCACTAAAGGTTTTTCAGTTAGTGTTGTTAACTAATGAAGCCCTAATGTAAAGTTTGACCGAACAATAAAGAATCAAAACACTTTCAAACAATATCTAGGGCATGTTTGAAAATAAATAGCCTATTAAGTCTAAATATTTACGTATTTGGCGCTGTGATCAACACCATTGCATACAAAAATCTGAATGGCCATTTAAATCATTTAAACACTTTCCGAAACAGAAAGCTGTTTTGTTTCCGGGGTAACAGCTGCATTTCTGCTGTTCAGCGCGATCTGGTGTCAGCGTGAATGTGCTTTCACCCAGAGCGTCTCTCACGCGCTCCGCCATGTGCTTCTCATCTGTGCTTGTTTATATCGGTGCGCACGCGTCTTTGACGCAGCATACAGCTGTGTTGTGCATTGTGACCAGTTGATAGGGAAAATATTCTTAAAGTGCATTCAAAATTCTGAATAATTTATTATAAATAATTTTTCTCTGTATTTTGAAGTACCCACGATAACAATATCGTGCATATTAATTACCGTGATATATCGCATTACCGAATACCGGCACATGTCTACACTGTAATGAACCTTGCCCTTCCTCACACCCTCGCTGCTAATCAGCTAATCTCATCATCTTGCTTAAACCGTGCTGTGCTGCCTGTCAGTGCACTGAGGGTATGTGGGGGGTTGACGTTATCTCTTTGTATTCACTGTTGATAGCTCACTGGACCCCAGAGTGAGGGATGCCCTGGGGGTCTACACCGACAACTGGCTCATCATCCAGAGGAAGTGAGTATTCTTCCTTCTACATGAGCTTTGACTAAAAATAATAATACATAGACAGTACCAGTTGAAAATCTGGACAGTAAAATCATCAGAACTGTGGAACACAAATGGAAATATGGCAATTATTTAGTGACCAAAAATGTTCATGAAATCAAAACATCTTAGCTGCTCTTCCAGCTCAGCACACTTTCTCTCAGTAAACTTACTGAAACTTACTTCAAAACAGTTTTGAAAAAGTTTTCCATGTTTGGAGTCAGTAAGATTTTTTTTTTTTTTAAACGAGTCTGTTATGCTTAAGACTGTATATATTTAGTCAAAAATACAATAAAAACAGCAATATTGTGAAATATTATTGTATTCTAAAATACCTAATTTCTATTGAAATATATTTTAAATGTAGTAATTTATTCCTGTGATGCAAAGCTGAATTTTCAAGATCATTACTCCAGTCTTCAGTGTCACATGACCCTTCAGAAATCATTTTAACATGTAGTGCTTAATGTTATCAATTATTATTGGTGCTGAAGTATTAATAATTGTTCTTATTATCAGCAGTGTTGAAAACCGTTCTACTGCTTAATATTAGCACATTATACTTTTTCATAATCTTTGATTATACAAAGTTTAGAAGAGCATGCATTTGAAATTAAATATTTTGTAACATTATAAAATATTGTTGCTGTCACTTTTGATACATTTTATTCATCCTTGCTCAATAGAAATACTATTTTCTTAAAAAAAAAAAAAAAAATCTTATTGACCCAAACATTTGAACAGTAGTGTATGCTGGGTGCTTGCTTGTTGACTTTTTTTTTTTTTCCTTCATCAGTCCATCTACAAAATTGAGTTTTGTAAAGAATTTAACACATAGGAACAGTTTGTTGTCTACAAAACTAATTTAAATAATAAAAGAGGTTTTGCTTAAAAGCCTTTAAACCAGAAGGTTTCACGTTCCTAATAAACATCATTTGAGTGTGTCTGTGTGTGTTTCTGCTTTGACTGGTTGTGTACGGCATGAATGCTTACTGGAGGACAAGTTGTTTAGAAAGTGGAAAGAAACATGCTGCTTTGTGGTCTCTCAGGTATCAGCGATACAGCACAACACAGACGCCTCATAACTCTGAGCGGCAGCGGGAGAAACAGAAAGGACTCGTCAAACAAACCTTTGAGCTGGATGAGGCCGCCATTGATCGGCAGGATGAGCAGGTAAAAGTACATAGAATCACACTAGTGCTTGGAGATGTGGCCTAACGGTGATACATTGAGTCACGGTGCTCATTTGGGTAGCACAGGCTTGTGATATTTTCCAATCACATTCCCTGTTCTTCCAGTCATTTACTGTCATAGCTGTGACTGTCATAGCCTAAAATTAATAAAAATCTCAACTGAAAAAAGTCTCTCAAGCTATTTGGTTTTGTTTAAGTAAATGAAAATAAATTGATGCATATAAATAGATAAGAGATCATTACAAAATAATAATAATAAATAAAACCCTCAAGTAAGCAAAAAGTCTCAAACTATCTTATTTTTTTATTTTTAGTTATTTAATTAAATGACAATTTTGGGCTTTGTACAATAATAAATGACTTTGTAATTGTTATGTTTTAGTCTATTTAAAATCAAAGTTTACATTTACAAAGTGACAAAAAGGCAATAAATAATAATAAAAAAGTCCTCAAGTGAGCAAAAAGTCTCAAACTAATTTCTTTTCTTTTATTATTTATTTTAATTGCATTTATTATTTAATTAAATTCACATAAACTTGAAATTGCCTGGATAAATGATCACATGAGCAAAGTATCTCAAACTAATTTGTTTTATTAATTGATTTATTATTAAAATTAACGGATGTTATAATACCTATAGGAAAATACCTGTATTATAGTGATTATGGTTTTTGTGAAATGATGAATGGTTGTAAATACAATATTTTATTTTATTGTTTTGAATGTAAATAGATTAAAGGGCTAGTTAAACCAAAAATTCTCATGTTCTCATTCTCATGTTGTTCCAAACCTGTATGAATTTCTTTCTCCTATTGAACACAAAAGAAGCTTTTCTTCAATTGTTGGTAGGTCTTTACTTAGTTTTTTATTTATTTTTTTTTCATACTGGAAGTCAATGGCTACCTGCAGCTGTTTGGTTACCAACATTCTTCAGAATATCTTCTTTTGTATTCCACTAAGAAAGAAACTAATACAGGTTTCAAACAACTTGATGGTGAGTAAATTGTTCATTTTTGGATGAACTATCCCTTGAAAGTAAGGAATTAGTTGGATAATTGGTTGGTTATTGTTATGGTCATTATAAACATGTCATTATAACTTTCAGAAGGGTTCTCCTAATGCAGAGTTTTGTCTGGGGCAGGATGACTCAAAGAGGCACTCGGTGTCGCTGGATGACACGCCGCGGGGGAGCTGGGCCTCCAGTATATTTGACCTGAAAAACTCCACTCCTGATGCGCTGCTGCCTTCTGTGCTGGAGCGCACGGCTGCGGAGGACATGGACTGTCGCAACGCCGAAAACCGCCAGCAGTGCCGCCACGCTGATCTGCTGGGACTTTACCCTGCGCCGGATGAGGTCTGAAATCATTACACACAGTGTGAGACAGAAAGTTCAGGACTATATGCGAAAGAAAGTAGAAAAGGAAAGTAGAGTCTTGTGTGTAGGAGACGATGAGTAACACTCAACACTTTTATGTAGGAGAGCTGTCAAACGCTGAAGTTCAAAAGCAGAGACGTCTCTGATGATCCATCTGCGATTTTGTTTGATCTTGTCAAACAACATCTTTGTCTTTCCTCCGTCTCTTGCTCCTCCGCATCGTCGCTGCTCATCCTCTCGCTTTATGTCTGTGTACACATTGTTTCTGATGACTGAGCAAACGTTGCCATGGTGCTGCTGACTGAGTCGTAGTCATGATGATGGTTCTTTGTGTTTGACAGGATGAGGCCGTCGAGAGGTGCACCATTCCAGAGGTGCCCAAAGAGCACAGCGGCCAGAGGATCATGGTCAAGTGTTTGTCGCTCAGGTAAGGCTCTCAACCTCCCCATTCAATCATGCAGTCATTCAGTTGGTCTCTGAGTGGTTGTCATATTACGAAAACTATTACAGGCGGAAATAAAAAATGAGTGTTTGCAGAATGAATAAAAGTAAAACTATAAATGTACACACATAAAAAAAAATACTGAGAAAATACTTTTTATGATTCAGTCAGAAGCTGTTTACTTTCAAAGCTACGAATTAAATGTGCGCAAAATTGGAATGACGCATAAAACGTTTGCGAATAAAGCACCGTTTCCATCCAGCGAGTTGAAGAGAACAAAATCGTCACTTCCTGATTAACTTGCGCTAAATATCACAAAGAAAAATGACATTTTCTGCAGTAGGAAAAGGCACTGTATATAATAATTTTGGTATACATTAAATTACGACCTTCAGAGCGCGCAGACGAAACACGGTCATGTTATCTTATTTTCAAAATGAAGCACTTTGAAGAGACTTTGCTCAAGCATTTTAGAATGACAAAACTAGCAGTTCAGATGCTGTGCAATGAGATCGGTCCGTTGGTTGGTCCTGTTTTATTAGGGCTGGGAAAATAAATCGATGCATCGCGAATCGAGAAATGATTCCGCATCGATTCTGAGATTTTCCGAATGCATCGCGATTCTTTCTTGAGTCGATTCTGAGCTTAGTTTTGAACAGCAGATGGCGCTGCATGCTTTAGAAACAGCCGTACTCTGCTTGTTTCCAAATCCTTACACACACTTGAACCTAAAATAATCATTCATAAAATTCAAAAAGGTTGAAGCGAATTACAAGGATGGTCACAGTGGGCTGTGTTTACATTAATCTGGCGTCATACAAGCATTCTGAGCCGAGGTGAAATTACAGACTCTCGACAAGCGCTCTTCTTCATGAGCATTTAAGTGCGGATAAAAACTAGAGTAGAGCGCCATCTGCTGTTAAAATCTAAACTCAGAATCGATTCCTGAGAGAATCACGATGCATTCGGAAGATCTCAGAATTGATTCTGCATCGATTTATTGTCACAGCCCTAGGTTTTATGTTGTCCCATTGCGAAGTCACATTGATGCGATTCGGTAAAACTGTTTCCATCGTAATTTATGCGCATGTTTTCCTACCGGATAAGAAATGAATCCGACTTAAAGGCGTAAGTTTTTTGTGCGCATTTTTAGAACTTGTGCACTGCTTTTTAAAAATTTTTTTAATGAAACATCCCAAAATGCGCGTAAATATTGGTGGATTGAAACGTAGCTAGTGTTGGATGGGTTAATTTGATTTATTTCCTCGGCCTGACTGAAGTATTCTGTCAAAAAGAACTTCCTTGTCACTGTAAATCGCTGTCAGTGTGAACGGCCCTTTATTCTTCAGTTGGTGACTGTATTGATTGATTGAGATGTAACGCACCTTCTGGTTACACATCCACCCTCAACAGTTAAGCCAGCTGCAGTATGATCTGACCTGCTGTGGTTGTTCTTCTAGATTTGAGATCGAAATCGAGCCAATATTTGGATCACTGGCTCTGTATGATGTCAGAGAAAAGAAAAAGGTATGACTGTGTGTTCTTAACCTTGAAATGCTTGGGATAGTTACTGAAAAGTTCAAAGCAGGTTCCTGTAAATGAGATCACGATCATTGATATGCCATTTCTCTTTCACATCCACGCTCAGATTTCAGAGGATTTTCACTTTGACCTGAACTCGGATCAGATGAAGAGCTTGCTGCGACCCCACAGTCCACACGTAGCCATTTCCACACTGGCGCGATCCACGATCTTCTCCATCACATACCCGTCTCCGGACATCTTCCTAGTCATTAAGGTATGACCAGCAGGGGGTGCAGTGCCACATGTCCTTTATTATTTCGTTGCAAAATAGAACAAACATGACAATATTATGTTTAAAATGTAGACTACATTTAAAATGTAAAATATTCACTTAATTACCTTTTTTTGTTGAACTGTTGTAAAAATTAATGGCACATTTGCCATCGTTTGGATATTCAGGGAAATTTGCATTCTTGCACGCATCTTAAACATGAAAACAATAACACGCACAGTGTGTCTGTATCGAAGAGAGTTTAAATCGATCTCAGTCCGTGTCAATATTTGCTCTTCATGCTATTAAGTGAAGATCTACTTTAAAGATACATTGAACAGCAGCGCGATTTGCTAAAGCAGCATATTCAGCGGGCATCCTATCACATGCACGTTGCTTGTGTGGATGCAGTCAGTTTTGACTGCAAAAGATGAGGTAAGCTGATTGGATATCAATGTATTTGACCGTTTACTTACGGCACTCCCATTTTCCTGTTTTTGCATTAGAAGCGGCATTTTGCTTGTCAGAAATACGTTCGGTTTTAATGTTACTTTTAAGTTTGGGGTAGAATTAAATGAATGCCAAAACTCAGAATTTTGTTCGCGTACCCCCCTCCGTCATCTCACGTACCCCAGTTTGAGAACCACTGCTTTAGAGGGAACAGAAGGTCAGAGCAGGACAAGAGTAACTGTAGCTCATAACAATGAGGTTTTTTTTGTAGTATTTTCTTGCTGTGCCAACATTTTTTTCAGTGGCCTTACCACAAAAATGTGTATATTTTATAGAATCTAAATTTTCTGTATTTCTATTCCAGTATACGCTACCTTTCAAAAGTTGGTGATGAGTACGATTTTCTTTATGATAAATAAATTCTGCTATTCAGCAAAGACACTGAAAACTGATCAAAAGTAACAGTAGACACATTTATAATATTAAAAAAGATTTCTGTTTTTAAATAAATGCTGTTCTTTTGAACTTTCAATTCAATAAAGAATCCTGTAAAAATGTTTCACAGCTTCCTGAAAAATAACAAGCGGCACAACTGTTTTCTACAATGAATTTTAAAGCTTATCAAGACATTTTACAGGAGTCATTCATGACTTAAAGTTTTAGAGAGGAGTCAAACCACACAAGCAATATTAATGACTTAAAAAGTCAAGACTGCAAGCCAATTCAGATGCTGTTGCATAACCTAAAGAAGGGTTGTGCTATAAAGACAGCCCATAAATACTGATTAAAATTAAACCGATTTGTCGGCAGGGATGGTCCAAAATTGGTCAAAAGTCTTATAAGCAGCTACAGAAAGCATTTAGTAGAGTTTTTGCTGCTAAAGGATGATCTAAAGTTACAAAATTAAAGGTTTTGCATACTTTCTCCATCCTGTACTTAGAATGATTACTCAAAAGTATATTTAATAAAATGTGAAAAGTACAATTGTTTGTGTATTATTAGTTTAGTCAGATTGTTTTTATCTATAATTGTGAGTTGAATATTTATTTATTTTTATTTTTTTAATCTAATGTATCCCAAAATTTTGAATAGTGGCGTATCAGTTTCCACAAAAAATATTAAGCAGCCAAAACTGTTTTTAACATTGATTAAAAAAAAGCAGCAAATCAGCATATTAGAATGATTTCTGAAGGATCACGTGACCCTGAAGACTAATGATGCTGAAAATTCAGCTTAGCATCACATTAATAAACTACATTTTAAAATATATTCAAATAGAAATACCAAATCAAATAAATGCAGTCTTGGTGAGAATAAGAGACTTCTCAAAAATGATAAATCTACATCTAGCCCCAGACATCCTTGTTGTTAAGCTCTGCTGTATTTGTGTTTCAGCTGGAGAAAGTCCTTCAGCAGGGAGACATCGGCGAATGCTGTGAGCCGTACATGGTCATGAAGGAATCCGACTCCACTAAGGTGCGAGTGAACATTTACATGAGGGTTTTTGCATGAGTATTTCATCAGACACATCTGGCATGATTATGGTATCCTCTGGATTTCTCAACTTGCTCTGGACTGCTGCAATATTTGTTAATCTTCAATATGAGCAAGGTCCAGTAGATGCTGGAACCTGTGTCTGTCACTGTACAATTCTGTTGCCAAGTTGCTTTTTTCGGCAGTTTGAAATTGCACGATAAAGGCTGCTCACCCATCACCTTTACACAGGGTTTGTGTAACAACCCAGGTGGATATTCTGAAATGATTCAGTGGTTTTTACCTTTATGTGTACGTACAGCATAAGGAAAAGCTGGAGAAGCTGAGGGCTCAGGCTGAGCAGATGTGCACTAGGCTGGGTCGTTTCCGCATGCCCTTTGCCTGGACTGCGATTCATCTGCTGAACATCGTCAGCAGTGTTGGAGGCCTGGACCGCTCCGATTCAGACTCAGACACGGGTATTTACCAGAGTCAACACATTTGAACTCAGCTGAGAGTTTATTTTTTTATTGCTTTCTTATAACCAGTCATCTTGAAGATGTCCCTGAAAGTAACACATATAAGAGCCAATATATTTACAACTGTACATTTCTATATTTTGTAGCCTTTTTCCAATATTCAGTAAATGTGCTACATTATTTTAAGACATTCTGATCCAGAAATACATCCTCAAGGTACTTTATTTTTTATGTACATGTGATGTAAAGTAGTGAAAAGTTTTTTCTTAGTTTCTTGAGCCACAGTGCAACAATAAACAGAGCCAACAACAAATTAAAGACGTGTTCACACACATAATAAAATCTAAGAAAATCTCAAGAAAAACTATGTGAATAAAACATAGTAGGTAAATAAAATAGAACATAGTAGTGAAAATAGCGGAGACTCTGAGTTTTTTTCAGCAAAGAAAAAGGGAAAGCGTAAACTTTCTACACTGAACCATTTCTAAAATTTAGTAGCTGTCATAAAAATTAGTTTTTGAGAAAATGGGTTTAAAAGATTCTAAACAATTTTTATAAATTATTTGATATGATTTGATATAAAATGTATTCAAACGTACTTTAAATAATTACAACATCACTAACAGTTTAAGTTCATATATATAAAAATATATAGTGCATATATTGAAAAATATATGCATTTTTCTTGCTATGAGCTATGGACACTGGATAAATTTACTGAGGTAAATGTAATGTTAGGTAACAAGTTCTGTACAAGCTGTTTTGTTGAAGACATCTGTGATTTAAACACAGATTGGACCATTGCATAGATGATACTTTTCAGTAAGTTTACCCTTATCTTTAAACAAACCCTCATGTATTTTACATGCTGTAACTTTCAGTAAAAATGCAGGATATGAGGAAGAGAGCAGTCTGTCCTACATGTGTTTGAGCAGCTATTCTGGCACACACTACATTAAAGAGCATCAAAACAACAGTTTATTGTTTGAATTTCCTGATAAAATTAACATAATTTGAAAGCTGTTGTTTAAAAATATAACAAAACACCAAATTATAAATTATAGATCCAATAATTCCCCCCAAAATTGCTGAAAATATACTCACCATCAGGCCATCCAAGATGTAGATACGTTTGTTTTTTCATCTGAACAGGGTTGGAGAAATTTAGCACTACTTTGCTTGCTTCACAGCTCAGCAATGGATCCTCTGCAGCGAATGGGTGCCGTCAGAATGAGAGTCCAAACAGCTGATAAAAACATCACAAGTAATCCACATGATTACATTTAGTCAGAATCAGAAGAAAAATATACTATATATAAGTGAAAACGGAAGCGACAGTTTGAAGTTAAAAATGCCTTAATGTTTGATTTGTTTATTGCAAAACATGCAGCTTTTCACTTTTCAGGATGTTAATTGGTGGACTGGAGTCATGTGGATTACTTGTGGATTATTGTGATGTTTTTATCAGCTGTTTGGACTCTCATTCTGACGGCACCCATTCACTGCAGAGGATCCATTGGATCCTATATTCACAGAGTTGGTTAATTTTATATGGCTAACAAAGTAATATTGAATATACATATTCTATGTCACCGAGACCTAGTTGCGTGACACTATTATATAGCAAACAACATTTTGTCATTCCTTACAGAGCGTAAGGGGACGTGGAATGAGAGAAAGAAGAAAGGATTTGAGAGGATGAGTGTAGGAGAGGACATGTGCAACTTTGCTAACTTCCGTCCAGCGACTCTCACTGTCACCAATTTCTTCAAACAGGTCAGTTCTCTATTCATGCACATTTCTGACAGTAGTGTATTACCACAATGTATTATTTACCCACTGAATGAATGCTGAGTGTTTGTGTACTGCTGCAGGAAGGGGACAGATTGAGTGATGAAGACTTGTATAAGTTCCTGGCAGACATGAGGAGGCCGTCGTCTGTCCTGCGTCGACTCAGACCTGTGACTGGTACCTGTCCGCACTTATTTTGACCTCAGCAGTTCTATTATTTAAGCCTTTTCTCATACTCTGTCGGTCTCTTTCTGTCTAGCTCAGCTGAAGATAGACATCTCCCCGGCTCCAGAGGCCCCACACTACTGTCTGTCTCCAGAGCTGCTTCATGTGAAGCCTTACCCTGACCCACGTGTGCGCCCCACCAAAGAAGTGCTGGAGTTTCCCGCTCGCTACGTCTACACCCCACACACTACCTACAGGTCAGTACACACACATTCCTATCAAAGAGCAGCTAATATGTGACCCTGGAGCACAAAAGCAGTCATAAGTAGCACGGGTATAATTGTAGCAATAGCCAACAATACATTGTATGGGTAAATCTCCATTTCAAAAAATTGATCCTTATGACTGGTTTTGTGGTCCAGGGTCACATATAGGTATCATGGAGTGTCATAAAACTACAATCTGTGTCGCCTGAATTCATATGATAGCTGATATGATATGATAGCGGGAACAGACTAAAATTTAAGCCGTTATCCAATTTATTATCTTTCCCTCTACACAAATTCACAAATCCCAAATCAGTCATCATACTTCTATAAAAATGTTTACGTACACTACCGTTTAAAAGTTTGGGGTCAGTAAGCTTAAAAATAAATTTGTACTTTTATACAGCTAGGATGCATTAAATTGATCAAAAGCAGTAGTAAAGACGCTTTATGTTACAAAAAAATCTATTTCAAATTAATGCTGTTATTTTGAACTTTCTGTTAATCATACAATCCTGAAATAATGTATCACTTCATTTCCGCAAAAATATTTAAGCAGCACTGGTGTTTTCAACATGAATAACTTTTTCAACATGTATTTTTCTTGAGCACCTAATCATCATATTAGAATGATTTCTGAAGGATCATGTGACACTGAAGACTGGAGTAATGATGCTGAAAATTCAGCTTTGCAACCACAGGAACAAATGACATTTTAAAATATATTACAATAGAAAGCATTTATTTTAAATCACAATAATATTTCACAATATTACTGTATTTCTGATCAAATAAATGCAACCTTAGTGAGCATAGGGGACGTCTTTCAAAAATACTAACTGACTGCAAACTTTTGAAGTGTTAAATCTCCATCCGGTTTCCTTGTATGGAATATATCTATTCTTATGTGTTAGATGGAATAAATGGTGAGTACATCATGACATTTTTATTTTTTCATTTGTGGGTGATTATTTCTTTCATTTAGCCAAAATTATTGGGTAGTTTCATATTTGCCCACCCATTCAGCCATGGTTATGTCTGCATTGATTCATCTGTGGAGAAGTTTTTTTGAATGATTATGAAAATATAAACTATGTGAGTATTTATTTAAAACTATGCGTGTACTGATTTATCGTACATAAAAAGACCAGAAACATTTACGTAGAAAGTAAATAATTTTATTTTGTGCCGTATTATATTGTTTCAAAACAGAAAGAGAAGACGCATAACTTTTATTTTCATTCAGTTATAAGTTAGAAAGTATTAAGTTATAAGTTACATATATATTATGATAATTATGTTTTGTGCTATTATAAACATTATTCACTACAAAAAAGTAGCTAAATATTTGTAACACGAATTTCATGCAGCATTTCACAGTTTCAAATGTTTCACAAAAATTCACTATCGTTAAGGCTTCATGAATGAGGCCCAATGTGCATATAAAATTACTGGCAAAGTGGACGTTTCATATTTATCACATGTAGCACATGAGATCCGTTTGCAGTGCCGTGAATGGAGTGTTGATGAGAGTTGATTGCGCTTCCTCCTCATGTGTGTTTTTTTTTTGTGGTTACACCATATTCTGAAATGAGAAGCAAGTACTGACATGAAACGATGATTTTACGGGCGATCGCATGTTTACTAGCAAGTCTGCACTCAGGCTTACCTGTTTCTGTAAATCAGCCAGTTGCTGGTTTTGATTCTCCAATTTCAGTTTCTGTTCTTGTGTCCACTTCATCAGGTCCTTCAGGTTAGAGATGTTTTTAAGTGGTGTGCCCTGTCAGAAGGACGTTATTGGTTATTTTCAGATAAACTGTAGTGTGTTCATTGAAAGACAGTTCTGCATCTTCACTACCTTGATCTTGTCTGGGACAGAGCTGTTTAGGTTTTCCTCCAGGCTGGTTAGTTTTTTCTTTAGCTGCGCCTCTTCCAGCTCCACCCTGGTGACTGTATCTCTGTTCTCATGGACCTGAATCTCCAGCGCTTTCATCTGAGCCTGCAAACAGACCAGCTGTTGAGCACACTGATCCAACTCCTCATGGACCCACAGATCCCAGTACACTTAACTGAGAATTACAGCATAATTATATTAGTAAATGAATATAATGAGATGAGAAATAAAATAAGACTGAAAAAAATCTACACTGTATTAATGAAGTTAATTAAACCTTTGTTTTATACAATATTTACTAAGTTCTGTGTCTCTCTGTGTGTGTGTATATACATACATACACACACACACACACATATATATATATATATATATATATATGAGAGAGAGAGAGAGAGAGGGTGTTGAGTAAATATACTGTAATATATACATTATATATTAAATATATAAATATATTTTCACATTGAATCTCCACATTGATTAATATACAAACAACATAAAAACATTATTTTAAATAGTGTTACATATTTGTTCAATGGCATCTTTGCTATGAATCAAGGCCTGATTCTGATGACACTAATAAATTATTACTATTATTATTATTTTTCAATTTTTGGGGATAAAAATAAACACAATAAATAAAAAATAGATACTATTACAAATATTTTTACAAAATGTTGCAAATAACATTTTTGTTTTTACATAATGATATTTGCAACATTAAAATATTCTTGAAACAAATAAAATATTTAAATAATCTGCCAAAATAAGGTCCTTGGAAAGGGATTGTGCATTACTATTTTTTTTTCTTTTCTCATATATATATATATATATATATATATATAAGATAGATAGATCTCAATGTGGGGAGATACTATTACAAATATTTTTACAAAATGTTGCAAATAACATTTTTGTTTTTACATAATGATATTTGCAACATTAAAATATTCTTGAAACAAATAAAATATTTAAATAATCTGCCAAAATAAGGTCCTTGGAAAGGGATTGTGCATTACTATTTTTTTTTCTATATATATATATATATATATATATATATAAGATAGATAGATCTCAATGTGGGGAAAGTTGTCACTAGACCACTTGTTTTGTAGAACTCTCATTTCTGTTAGAGACACTCAATATATAATTGATATATATAATTATAGAGAGTATAATTATAGTTTGGACATTTTGTCTATATTTGCCTAAAAGATAACTTAAGTGAAAAGTGGCCCAACTTACCCCCTCCCCTATGCTTATTAATTATAATGTTGTTGGTACATTTTAGAACTGATGCCAAGGTGAACTACCATTTCTGTTACTTTGGACGGTAATTTCAGTATGACCTATTGATCAGCCTGGCCAGTAGTTCAGTCTGTCACAATGTAAGTCATTGGTCAAGTAACATATAGGCTTTACCTGAAGGAGCTGGAATTTCTCTTTAATCTGTCGCTCGTTTTTAGCAGCCTCCTCCGTGTCGTGCCCCAGTCTCTTCACCTCACTCTCAGTTCGGCTGATGGCTTTCATGACACGGGCCAGCCTGGCCTCTGTGCCCTGGTACATGTGGTGCAGGGATTCGGTGAACTGCAGCAAGCCGTACATCAGGATGTTCATGTCATCTGTGGAGGCCAGCTTTTCCCCGGCTTGGACAGACTTCAGCGAAGATGAGGAGACCCTGTTCACACACAGAGCCGTAAACAGCACACATAAAGCCGCCTGCATCCTGTCCTCTTCTTAAAAAACAAACCGTGGCTGCCGCAGGTGCGAGGGAACAGGCTGTTTTAATGTGCACGCTTTGCAGCATGCTGCTGCTTTTATAAGCAGTGACGGTGTATGTTGGACATTGGGAAATCAGCTGAGACATGAGCCTATCAGAGCTATGCTTACAGCTGTGTGTGAGAGAGAGAGACCTTGACTTATGTTGGTCAGGCAGATGTTTAGTGGTATTGAACCAGGGACGTGCTTAGCAGTCTGTCTGCCAATGCACTCTTCTCCTTTAACCCCAAAGGTACTCAGGGCACCTTCTGTCACAGTATCAAATGGAGACTGTGCTATTTTAAAAGTATATAAATAAGAGATTGTAAGCGGGTGCTGCATTATGCAACGATCATATTTAGCATCACAGGAGATCTGGGAGATCCTACAGGAGTCCTGTATGTTCACGCTGCTTCCACATGTTCAGTGTTTGATTTGGGGTAAAGTCAAATAATTTGCAGTGCCTTTCATGTCTATTTTATATCACTGTTCCTCAAACATGCCAATGAAATAGTAGATATGTGTCACAGTGTTCCTCTTGTTTCGTCAAAAATGTTAATAGAATTAATGACATATGCTGATTAATTAGTGGAATTAAACTCGTGTATATAATATTTGTTGAGAAAAGCCCGCAAATTAATATAATTCAAGACTTGTGGCAAATTTAAGCATTGATCCTCTCTCTCTGTTTCTATCTAGACTGTTTACATAAGTAGTTGTAGACTTTAGCTTATTTTAGGAATTGAGGCTTAACCATTATATCAGTTGTTGGGTACTCAGGGCACCTTCTGTCACAGTATCAAATGGAGACTGTGCTATTTTAAAAGTATATAAATAAGAGATTGTAAGCGGGTGCTGCATTATGCAACGATCATATTTAGCATCACAGGAGATCTGGGAGATCCTACAGGAGTCCTGTATGTTCACGCTGCTTCCACATGTTCAGTGTTTGATTTGGGGTAAAGTCAAATAATTTGCAGTGCCTTTCATGTCTATTTTATATCACTGTTCCTCAAACATGCCAATGAAATAGTAGATATGTGTCACAGTGTTCCTCTTGTTTCGTCAAAAATGTTAATAGAATTAATGACATGATATGCTGATTAATTAGTGGAATTAAACTCGTATATAATATTTGTTGAGAAAAGCCCGCAAATGAATATAATTCAAGACTTGTGGCAAATTTAAGCATTGATCCTCTCTCTCTGTTTCTATCTAGACTGTTTACATAAGTAGTTGTAGACTTTAGCTTATTTTAGGAATTGAGGCTTAACCATTATATCAGTTGTTGTAAACTTTTCCGTTTACACAAATAGTTGTAAACTTGACAGTTTACATTAGGAGTTGAAACTGAACCGTGTATATTAGTTTTTGTAAACATTAGGAATTAATGTTTACTTGTTTATATATTAGTAGTTGTAAACTTCTCAGTTTACACAAGTAGTTATATAGTAGTAATCTACTAGATTCTGTGTACTGTTTTTTGGTCCAATAAGTAATATCTCGGTCTTATCCTAATTTAATAGGAGAAAATTATTGGTCATTCAGTCTTTTACATTTTTAACACACTCAGTTAGCTTAGATAATTTAGAAGTTTCATCTGGTCTTGTTGAAATACATAGTTGAGTATCATCAGCATAACAATGGAAACTAATCCCGTATTTTCTAATAATATTACTACCAAGGGGCAACATGTAACGTTATATTGAAAATAGCAGAGGGCCTAGGACAGAGCCTAGCACCACTCGCACACAGAGATCTGAGATCGCGCTGTGCAAAAAGTAACATTCAGAAGCTCATAAACTGTTGTCAGTGCTGCCACGCGGCTTTTATTAATCGATACTGAATCGCTACATTATATTTCTCAGTAACGAAAGGGTAAAATCGCTGTTTTTTTAAGTAACTAAACTCAGCTTCATTGTTTGTAGAGAGACGCAGACAATTTACACCTCTCTCTCTCTCTCTCTCAATATGCCATATTTGAGAAAAAATGTTTTTGAGTAGTTTGCATCAGTGGATATAGCTGTCGGTCATTTAACATTTCTATCGTAAAACGTATAGTTAAAGTTGACTAATATTAAATGATTTGCAGCTTCATCTTACCTCGCTCTCTTTAACGTTAAACTGACGCTTCGCGCACTGCGTCTGTGAACAGTAAACCCCGCCTACTTTGATTTGATTGGCCATCTCAGTCATTTTGACATTGA